TGACCTAACACAACTTCCTTCAGAACGGGCCGACCTACCAGAACCTGTGATTATGGAACATACTCAGAATCGAAAGAAACATGAACGTCTCATCCATTCTCCTCCATTGCTGCTTCCCAAATCAAAAAAGAAACGACACTCTTTGATCATTTTGAATTTCACGAGTGCTAATTCTCTCTTTGGGGGAGGGCATAATGTGAAATAGCCTTATAGATACCGTGTGTGTACAAACACACACTTTTTGAGACCGGACTAGTAGCCCTTAACAAAACAGACAGTTTGACAATGTTCGATTCCGGTTCTCTCCAGACAGCTGACAAATCTGATTCTCGTCATCAGATGGTGAACTTACACTGCAATCACACCTTTTCCTACGAATGTCCTATCTCACCAGCCACGATCATGGACGCCCACGAGTGGTATACTAGCCGTTGCTCCATGTGTGGATGCGCTCACCTGGACACCCCACAATGAGAGCACGCCTGCACGGCGCATATGGATTCCAATTTCTGTCTTCTTTTTCATATACACGTTACCAGCGGACTACACCAGCGCCGTCTCGGTCAACTGAGCCCGAAACGTAGGTGACACTTCAAAAATCCGAATCGCCAAGATAGTAGGCTCCTTCGACCTAAGGGGAGCCGGGCACCTTGGCGGTGGGACAGGCAAGCCAACACAGCTGACTCAGCGGCTGGAGGAGTAGAAGTGGACGCGCAGATTCCCACTCATCACGCGAATCGTTTTTGCCGGATCACGCCTTTGGCGATGCTTATTGCTGGCCAGTCTTGTCGGTTTGAGACAATTTCTGCTGTTCGAGAATCGACGAGTACCATAAGCCAAGTTCTGCAATTCCTGCAACGCTTGGTTGTTCAAGTGGCAGCACCAAAAATACGGCAGAACTTGCTTGTTGGAGCCACCTTCCTTGATGAGCGGCACACACTACCAGATTCCATATTAACAAGACGCTATCCAGACACCTTATGTTATGGCAGGACACGTTAATCAGAGCTGCTGATGCGTGCTGTACCAGCAGTGACAAGAGGGAACTGCTGTGGGAAGTGGCTGGAGACAGTTGTCTCTAGCACACCGGAAGCCGTTACAAACAACCGACAGCGGAGAATACCTGGTTACGCCGCGACCCAGAACCGATACCTCTGGTTACTCCCCCTAATAGAGAGAATGTTCCGTTCAAAGCGCCACACACCAACTTTTCAATTTTCTTTTTCTCGTCTTGTGCGGAGTGGGGTTCGAACCCACGCGACTTTCGTCAGAAGATCTTAAGTCTCCCCCCTTAACCTCTCGGGCATCCACACGCGCGTAATGGTGCAGTTGTTGAAGGCAGTCTTATGTTGGATAACATTGGCGTTGAATGACGATGCATTAGAAAGCGCGCTGCTGAAGCCGGTCTACCGGAAGGTTCCTTTGGCTCGGCACGATGCCGAAATTTTAGGCTCCACTTTTTAAAATGAATTTCGGTTTGCTCGTACTGGGCATTGCCATTTACGCTCATGAAGTTATTGACCGATTGAAAGCCGGGTACAGAACTCACCGCGTGTGGTATCCAGTGCTTGCGTAGTGAGCACTTGTGGGCGAGTACATCCACAATTTGTTTAGGCAGCATGCAGGCATTATCTTTGAAATTGGTGAAGATGCAAGTCCGGAGGGCAACGTTCTTAAGCAGGTGAAAGACGAATATGACGACCTGCTTCGAATTCACACGATCGAAGGCGCAGAGGCAAACAGAGTTAGCTTCATCACGCCCACCGGCGATCAAGTTTTCCACAATGGAAGAAATAGCAACAGTGACATCGTGCAATTCATCATGAAGCAGTTCATGCAATATTACAATCCGTTTTCGGCGACGCAGTCGGGGGACAAGCCTGCCTCAGGCGACAAGTTTACGTCAGGCGACAAGTCTACCTCAAGCGACAGTAAGTCAACGAGGACGGGTGATAAGGCCAGTAAGGATGAAAAGGCAAGTAAGAAGGAAGCGCGTTCGAAGAAAGGGAAGGTGTTGGCGTTGAACGGTTCGAATTTTCACAAGACGGTAATGGCTGACGACACGCGTGGTTACTTTGTAAAGTTTTATGCTCCGTGGTGTGGTCATTGTAAGGCTATGGAGGACACGTGGAAGCAGTTGGCGCGTCAAATAGATCCTGAAGCGATGGTGATCGCGGAGGTGAATGCGGATGCTGAGAAACAGTTAGCGGCGGAATTTGGAGTAAAGGGTTTCCCGACGTTGTTAATGTTCCCGCCTGGTGGTAACAAGCAGCCGGTGCCGTACAACAACGAGCGTGATCTACGTTCCTTTGTTGACTTCGCTCAGAAATTTGCGAAACATGTAGCCAAGGTAACCGAACTGGTATCGGACAGCCAGTTCGAAGAAGAATGCGGTAGTGACTCGGATGGTCTTTGCTTAATTTCCTTCCTGCCACATATTTATGATTCCAGTCCAAAGGAACGCAAGAGATATCTGTCCATACTGAAAAAAGTTAAGACCGAAAATGCAGAACTGCCCATCAAGTATTTCTGGACCGAAGCCTCTCATTCCATGGAGCTAGAAAGATACTACCGTCTAGAATTTGGCTGGCCCGCCACCATTCTCATCAACGGCGCCAAAAAAGCCTTCGCCACACACCGTGGCGGCACCAAACACTCAGACCTCACAGACTTCGTCAATGGCGTCGCTCGCGGTAAATACAAACCCGAAAAATTTCCTGCTCATGCACCACCCCGTTGGCCTACCATCATCCCCTGGGATGGCAAGGCCCACTCGCCCAACGAGGAACTTTGACAGACTTTAACTACTACCTCCCCCTGACTATCCGTACCCTCTGGCCGACCTACACACCTGAACGACTGAGCACACCCGGACTAAGCACTAATCACACGTCCACTTTTGACTGACGACCAACTGACTCCACAAGCTGGTATAAGCTCCAGAAGCTGGTATAAGCTCCAGAAGCTGGTATAAGCTCCAGAAGCTGGTATAAGCTCCAGAAGCTGGTGTTGCGGTTCTTCAGAGAGGGCCGACCAGAGAAGGGTTTAGCGTACGAGAGGCTCGAGGTCGATGTGGTAGTTAGTTTTAAGGAACCTTCTCGTTTCGGGTGTGCTGTTTTTGACGGCCTGCACGACTGTAGTATTAAAGAGTTCGGGTGCCATGGCGAAGCCGCTGGCGGATGAGTTAAGTCGTGGTAAACTACCAGCCAGGCTGGGCCAGGTGCCGCTGTTGCCCCAACCACCTGGACCACCGCTGGATAGTGTGGCCTGGTCGGGTCTGATTGCGGGTGCAGCATAATTGAGTACGTCGAGCGTTTTGGGATCATAGCGCGCAAGGAGGTCGAGAATGTCTGGTTTGGTAAGTGCGAGTGCATACATAAGGGGTGTGTAGCCGGCGTCGTCCCTAGCACGTGCGGCGGGGCATGGTTGGCGCAATAGCACACGTGTGCAACGCGTCGCGCCGAATTTTGCTGCGAGGTGCAGGAGACTTGAATGGCCCCAGACACGTCGTTTCGTCAATGACCCACCTGGGATCTGGCCCGTGAGACCTGCCCGGCGTTGCAGCAGCCAGTTTAGACAGTTGTTTGCATCTGCAGCGATCGCGACCAGACACAACGCCGCCACATCCAACTCCGCTTTCTTCGTAATCTTCGCCTTCTCCGACAGACACACCAAACATTCCAAGTCGTCTTGCCGAATCGCGTTCGCTGCAGCGGTCAATAACGACCGCTGGATCGTCCCCTTCGACATGCGATGGCGCTCCCCCGCCACTACCGCTACTTGCGGCTTACGGCCCTCCCCACGTACGGCCTCGCCGCCGCAGTAAGCGGGCGCCTCGCCGTAAAAGCTCTCGGCGGCCAGTTGTTTACGCAACAAATACTTGACCAGGACGTCATGTTTGTGGTATGTCGCGATCGCCAAAGGTGTCATCCCCTTCCGGTCCTCCGCACCCGTTGAGGCCCCCTTATCACGCAACACGTCCATGATCTCTACACTACCAACCCGCGCCGCGTAGTGAACCGCAGTCCAGCCCTTTAGGTCCTCCCCGCTTAACAGGCTTGGCTCCGTCTCCACCAACTCCACCACACCTTCCACGTCATTCCGTAAAATCGCCCGAAACAGATGACTAGGCGTCAACCGCCCCTTCCGCACCCTTGCCGAATTACCTTGCACCAAATGTCCCTGAGGCATCTCCTATACCCGCTCCTCGTCTTCGCCAATTCAACGCCCCTAAATCTGGACAAAATCGGGTAACCCCCCCCCCCCCCC